AAAAAAAAAACTTTGTCTTTCTCTTTATTTATTCCTTCCCTTTTCTAGCTTGTACTTATTTGAACAATGCCTAAAACTTGGTATTTCAAGCACTTCCTGTGTCTGTTTGCCTCTTTAAGAAAAATCGCTTTATGTATTCCCCAATTATAAGTCGCTTTGGATAAAAGCGTCTGCAAAATGACTAAATGTAAATGTAAATGTATTTCTCACAGCTTGCATGCTTTTGTAGATGTGAATTGCATAATAATAGGATTTCATGAATGCACAGTCTTGCACAAAAGACCAACGTCAGGGTCAAGATTTTCATTAAACAGTACATTAAAATTACGGTTTGTTTTTCACCAAACCATTTCATATTCCCCCAGAACACTTGGAATATATGACACGTGTCGCACTTTTGTATCTTTTGTAAATCTTGATGCTGGTCACTATCACTGCCATTATATGGACAAGCATGAGCAGGCTTTTTTTATTCTCCTTTAGTGGTCCGAAAAACAAAGAAGGTCATACGGCATTTGAACAACACCAGGGTGCGTAATATGGAAGCATATGGGAAGCAAAATTCAATTTGAAATGTAATATGCAAAATGGCAATGCAATATGTAAAATAGCAATGTATTTCTGTATTTAAATGTACATTTCCCATACATATGTGCAATATTTAGTGCAAAATGAAAATTAAATTATATAATTTACATTTGCCTTTTCCTACACTAGCTTTAATATGCAAATTAAAAACATTTTAACACTTTATAAGTTGCAAAATTAAAATGTATTACACAAATTGATTAGATATGTTTAACATGTCTAAGTAAAAACTGTAGCAAAATTATCATTTAAATGCTGTTTTTCCAAAATGCATTTAGACTTAGGGGTAGGACACTTGGGATTGCATTTTCATCATAATACCGCGTGATAATTGTAGCAAAATGCAGCGAGAATTTCAGAATGCATTCTGAGCCAAAGGGTATCAAAATGGTGATTTAAATGTTTTTTATTTATTTTAAATGCATTGCCACTTACATATAAGATGTTTCAATTGCATTTTCATTTATTGTCACCCTATCTAGCTTTTCAGGTACTATAAAAACTACAGGTTTTTATTCTCATTGCATCAACTCTCTCACTGCAAATGAGTTTTCTGGTATGTTTCATAGTAATGAAGTGTCTACAGCAATTTCAGTTTCTGCTGAACATTCTTCAAGTCCTGATGATCTAATTTCTCTTCAGATATCCTGGACTCTATAGTCATTTATTTCCTGTGGGCCAGCTGCAGAGAGCACCTCGTCAGTCAGGACTTGTGCGCCTCTGTGAAGGGGCACATCGGAAGGTGGATGCTTGGGAAGTAGACGGCTGGACCTCAGCTTCTGTATGCCCATCTGCTTTGTCTGGCTGTTCTGCAAGGAAAGGATGTGCTTTACTTAAAATAAATGCTTAAGTCATGCATTTTTGATTCAATAAAATTACCATGTTGTAATGGCTCCTGTATTTGGTCACTCTCACCCTCAGTCTTTTCTATAATGCCACTCAGGCTTAAATGTCCTATTATTGCAGCCATCCTTTCATTAAGGCAGATAGATCGGGTGACCCCTGTCCTCCACCTATCTCTTTTTTCCTTTGTTAAAGTGAAATTATTCTTTTTGCATCAGCCTTCATATCAAACTACTTTTTTTTTTACTTCTGCAACTGTCCGAATCTCTGGGGAACCCACATTAATGGCCTTCGTTACCGCATCCCATGCATCTTTTTTATCTGTACCTCTTATGCCCGTAGACACACTTTTGAACAGAACACCTTTTCTTGCTTCCACCTCTGAAAGCAAAACCTCCCGTTGTCACGTTGCGTAGGAGGGAAACGAGGAGATGACTTTCATGTTCTGCAAGGAAAGGATGTGCTTTACTTAAAATAAATGCTTAAGTCATGCATTTTTGATTCAATAAAATTACCATGTTGTAATGGCTCCTGTATTTGGTCACTCTCACCCTCAGTCTTTTCTATAATGCCACTCAGGCTTAAATGTCCTATTATTGCAGCCATCCTTTCATTAAGGCAGATAGATCGGGTGACCCCTGTCCTCCACCTATCTCTTTTTTCCTTTGTTAAAGTGAAATTATTCTTTTTGCATCAGCCTTCATATCAAACTACTTTTTTTTTTACTTCTGCAACTGTCCGAATCTCTGGGGAACCCACATTAATGGCCTTCGTTACCGCATCCCATGCATCTTTTTTATCTGTACCTCTTATGCCCGTAGACACACTTTTGAACAGAACACCTTTTCTTGCTTCCACCTCTGAAAGCAAAACCTCCCGTTGTCACGTTGCGTAGGAGGGAAACGAGGAGATGACTTTCAAAACTTGACTTTTAATAAACAAACCAAATGAAAAGGAACACTAACCTAGGGAGTGCAGGAGACACATGGAATGACGTTTAAGACTCGACAAGAAAACATGAAGCAGACTACACATTTATACTAAACTTAAAGGGGTCATATGATGCGATTTCAATTTTTCCTTTCTCTTTGGAGTGTTACAAGCTCTTGGTGCATAAAGAAGATCTGTAAAGTTGCAAAGACTAAAGTCTCAAATCCAAAGAGATATTCTTTATAAAAGTTAAGAGTCAGCCACGCCTACCTAAAACGGCTCGTTCTAACACACCCCCACATACCTACGTCACGATCTCGGAAGATTTGCATAACGCCGCCCAAACGTTCACGCAAAGAAAGAAGGCGTAACTTATATTCCTTTTTCTATGTACACAAAAGGCCTATTTCTCTCAAATATTGTTCACAAATCTGTCTAAATCTGTGTTAGTGAGCACTTCTCCTTTGCCGAGATAATCCATCCACCTCACAGGTGTGGCATATCAAGATGCTGATTAGATAGCATTATCGCACAGATTATTGCACAGGTGTGCCTTAGGCTGGCCACAATAATAGGCCACTGAAAAAAAAAAACTTATATAGGCTAATTAATTAGTCTAAGCTATAGTTATACATATGTGACTATTTGTTTGGATAATAATTAATACTTGAACAACATGAGATTAGAATATGACAGAAGTTTCATGTTTTCAAGTTCCATCCATCCATTTTCCAAACCTCTTATCCCATGTAGAGTCATGGGGATGCTGGAGATTATTTCAACGTCACAGGCTGCAGTTGTACTTATAAATTAAAATGCATCATATAATTTATTTTAAACTGATTCACACATTTGAGTAATGTAAATTTAAAGACCTTTGTTGTCATTGTACAGAAATATGCTATATATCAGATTAACATGAGATCAGTAACTGCATTTCAGAAAGTTTTAGTGAGAATCAGTCACTAATAGCAAAGATGAGATTACACATACTGTACATTAAGATACATATTATTGAGATCATTTTCACAGTTCATATAAGTGATTCATTAATATTTTAATTTATGTTAATGATTTCTAGACCCTCTTCCATAAGTAATGGTGGAATAAGTATAGCTTGTAACAACAGCGTGTACATTTTTTTATGATTCATAGTCCATTAAGTGGCAGTAATTGTAATTGTAACGGATTATGTCAGGTTTGCTGCTTTTCCCTTTTGCTCCTTTTCTTTAAATTGATCTACAATAACGTTCACACCCGTTCCCTTTTGCTCCTTTTCTTTAAATTTATCTACCATAACTTTCACACCCGTTCCTCCTGCAACAGCTGCTCCTCCTGCCATTAAAGCAGCAGGCAATACCACTCCCCCTGTAAAAACCATTGCTGCCCCTCCAGCTACTGCTCCTGCCACACCTGCTCCCACTAAGGCCACATGTTTTACCTTGTGTATAATCTTCCTTCTTTCATCCTCCCTTATCTTTTTCTCCTCTTCCAATCTCAGTTTCTCTTCTTCCTCTCTCTGCCTCTTCTCTTCTTCCTCAATTTTTCTCTGAGTTTCTCTGTACATCTCATTTGTGTAATGCTCTCCTCCATTCTCCATCACCATTCTGTCTATCTTCTCCAGCAGTTCAGTGACCTGTGATCGATTGTTTCCATCTGTATTATCGAACACATGATACCTGCCTTTACACTGACTAACTAGCTCATTAATCTGCTTATTTTCTGCCAGAAACTGCTTTATAGGTTTATCTAATTGATCTCCTCTAGTGAACAGAATGATGGTGTAACGTGCAGCTTCTTCTCCAAAGTTTTCCTGAATCCATTTCACGGTGTTTTTCTCCTCATCTGTGAATCTCACGTCCAGTCTGAGGACCAGAAGAAACGCATGAGGACCAGGAACAGACATCTCCACACACTTCTCAATCTCTTTCTTCAGTTGTTCTTCACTGATTGATGTATCAAACAGTCCTGGAGTGTCGATCACTGAGATGTTTCTACCATCTAATGTCTGCTGATTTTGTTGGCATTTCCCAGTCACAGATTCTGAAGATAATTGTGCTTTAAACATTTTTCTACCCAGGATGGTGTTTCCTGTTGTGCTTTTGCCAACTCCAGTTTTACCCACCATCACGATCCTGAGCTCTGACAAGATGGAGAAGATAAAAGGATGGATGAAAGCGTGTGCTAATTAAAGTTATGAATTATGGACAATAACAAATTGGTAAACTCTGAATAATTGATGTATGGAAAATTCTAAAGCAGTGGCATTGAACATGTATGCCACATGTTTTGAAATAATTTTTAAAAACATATTTTGGGGAAAAAAAAGTATCTGTGCGTGTGAACCATTCTACTACATTGTTACGTTCTACATGTGTTTTGTGTATTTTTTTTTTCTCGCTCTCCTGTCTTTTTGTGGTATTTCTTTCTTCACTTCTAGGTCTGTGTTTATTGGCTGACTAGACTGTCAATCATCATTCTGACGTCATGACACTCTGTATTTGAGGCCTCGAGTTGATTGTGTGTTGGTGCGCCACACCAGCGTACCTTGTGCTCCAACACAGTCAGCAGTCTCCTGTTCGACGCCAGTTGTCTCCCGATGCTTAATGTATCTTGTTTCATGGAGTCATGCTTTGTGTTGTGTGATTTGATCTATTTATAGATTCGTTCTTTGGCTATTGACTTGTATTGAATTTTGTGTGACAGATTACGCTAATGTTCGTGTTAGAGTTTCAGTCTTACTACGGGTCAAGTTCAAAGTTAAGAATGCATCCTGATGCATCAAGCTACTTAGTCAAATTATCACCAAAGACATGTTTGGTTATTTAGTCAATCGTTGTTATGATACTGTTTGTTTTGTTTCTTGATTAGATAAGGTTTGTGAGTGTTACGTCACCTTTGTACTTTTGTTATTAGTTTATATATTTATGTATGTTATTATTAGTCATCGTATATGCCGAAGATTTCGGTTTTATTTTTTTGTTAGTCGGTTTAGAGGTTAGTTATAAGGATTGTTTTGTTTTGCTTATTTCTTTGATTTGGGTGACAATCCTTTTTTGTGCTAAATTCCATATTCTTTTTCATTTAATAATTATTTGAAAACTTCCACACAACGCGTCCAGTAAAGTCTTCTGAAACGTACTACTTTTCAGTGTCATCTTTGATCTGCTCCACACCCAGTAACAATTGTCTCACTTAAATGTTACGGTATCATCCCTCTTTAACATCAAGCACGTAACATTTATAGAGTAAGAATTGTTAAAACTATATGTTTATTTTCTTAATCCATGTAGTTTTTTCTGGGGGGGGGTTA